CTGTTGCTTCAGGAGCTCCGAGGCCGGCAGCGGCAGCCGGGGAACGTTGTAGTCCTCCGTCACTGAAGCAAGCAAGCTTCATGTTAGTTTCAAGCTGCCTGGCTGCCTGCCGCCACCTTGGCTGACAGTTAATTTGCACATCTCCCTGATTAGCCAATGGGAAGGGTAGCGGTGATACGCCAATTACCATGTTTCTCTTTTATTAGTGTAGATGTCTGTATTTTATTGACAAGTAATGACTAGCTGCATGAAAGTGTTGGGATTTTTTTGATGGCAAGCTTAATGGATTAGAATATCAGTAGATGTGAATATGTGCTCACTTAAGTTAATTAGCATTGTAAACAACCTCAAATCACCAAATTAAGATATTTATTTGAGACTTGGCCAATGTAGCTCAGTTGGTTGAGTGTTGTCACCACACCAAGAGACTCCATCCCCAGCAGCAGGATCAATTGCCAGTAGGGGGCATGCAGGATATTTTTCTCTCCCTCTCCATTCCTCTCTAACTAACTAACTAAATAAATAAAACATATTTGTAAAAATATATATGTATTTGAAACACAACAATAATAAAAATGTCATTTAATATCTCAGAAAAAGTGCTGATTTATTATTGAATAATAATATAACTGATGTATTGGGTATTAAACATTAATCCAAATGAAATTCATTTATATTGCATATATTGCAACTAGAGGCTTTGTGGACAAAATTAATGCGCGGGTAGGGTCTTTAGGCTTGGATGGCGATCAGGGCCAATCTGTGGGGTGACTGGCAGGGCGATTTGGGCCCCCGCTATAACCCGCCTTGGCCTGGTGCCGCCCGCTCACCTGCTCCACCATTCCACCATGGTCCCGCACTCCTCAGGGCACATCGGGCCAACAGCGCCTCCACTGCTGCCCCCTGCCAGCACTCTGTTGCCGACACCTGGCATGTTGCAAATCGCATCAAACTCCTGCTCTTGGAGACAATTTGCATGTCATGCTTTTATTATCTACTTATATAAAAACCGTGGGTGGTGTTCCTCACAAAAGGACGAACAGCCACAACCGAGCAGAAGGAAATCAATTCTACAGGGGTTGTCTTGGCAACAGCTGTGCCCTCCCCCAAGCTGTTTCCCGGAGCTGTTTCCTGTAAGGGCAGAGTTTGAGGCAGGAACCCGCCCTGGGAGCTTGGAGACAGATCTTTCTAATGTGTGCCGTGCCAGCACGGAGTGAACCTGAGTAGGGGTGGCTGAAAGGCTTAGAAAAGATAGACAAGAGAATGAAAGCCAGGTCTTGGTGCGATGCTGCTTCTCTGAGAGACAGCGACCACGCCCACAGCCATGTCTTTAGTTTATCGCAGATGCTAAGAGGCAAAGTAAGGGCGTGACCAAGATGTTTACAAACATTCTCCTGGGTTTCAATCCTACTCAACTACATGCACCTGAACTCTATCAAGCCTACATCACTCAGGCACGTGGGGTCACGTGTTCAGACCATAGATTCAAGCTTACAGCTACAGCTGTTGGCTATAATTGTGCTGGGAGGGCCCTGCCCTCCAAGCTGGGACTTGCACGTGACAATGAGAGGACTGTGCCCTCTCATCAGTCCAAGGCTTGAGCCTGTCCAAAACACTGTAGTGG